GAGCCAAAGAAATGGGAACGCCGCCAGCTGAAGACTAAACGTCTGAGGGAATACACCATCAAGTGCCACTCCAGCATGCCGCCCAACAACACCTACGTGAACTTTGAGCGCTTTGCTCAGGTGGTGGAGGACATCGACCAGATGGAGGGCTCCTTTTTCAGCCTGGCGGCGGCCCACGACTCCCTGCAAGAGGACATCGACGCCTTGGTCTCCATTTACAACGAGAAGGAGGCCTGGTACAAGGAGGAGAGCGAGGCCGTGCGGCACGAGCTCTCCCAAATCCGCTACGAGTTCCGGAAGGTGGAGGCCTCCAAGAGGAGCCTGCAGGACGACATGCAGGCCTTCAGCTGCGGCCTGGCCGCCGTCACTGAGCGCTTCCGGGAGAGGCAGGGCCACTTCGACGCCCTGCAGCTGGAGCTCAGCAACGAGCTGAAGTGGGTGCAGGAGGCGGTGGGCTCCCTCCCAGCAGATGGAGGAGGTGGAGGCTATCCCAACTGCAGCTTCACCACCGTTTTCAACAACGACGTGAACGAAGCTCTCAAGGAGCTGCTCAGCCGCTCCTGCGGAGGAGAACTGCTGTCCGGAATCAACCTGGACCTCACCGAGACCGGGCAGCAGCGCTAAAAACACAGATCTGGGTCCGGGAGGAGGTTGGGTCCAGAGCCCTTCCTTCTTTCTTTTCTTCCTCCTCATTATTTTTTACTGTATAATGGACTCAGCAGATCCAGAACTGTGTGAAGTTGGTTCTGATTTTGGGTGGAACCTTCAGTTGAACATGTAGGACCTCTGTTGATGAGACGCACTTCGGCCTAATGCTGAGGTTGCGACATCATCACACTCTTACCCCTCTTTAGCACTCCGGTCCATCACTGCAGCATTTCTGATCCTGCCTCGCCTCTACTTTCACTAATGACCCGCTGGGCCTTCCTCAGAACCTCTGGGAATCAGAACCACAGATCCAAACAGGATAGCAGACTGTTGGCCAGGCTCATTCCCAGAGATGCAGCAGGAAATGCAAGGGTCTAGTTAAAGTTTTCAGCAGAAGGAGAACTTTGTGGTTTCCATCAGTTATTGCAGGAAAAACATGTTCAAATGTCAATAGGAGCTTCTGACTCCTTTAAAGAATAGGGAGAGTATTTGTTAACTAACGCTAACGCTAACAAATACTCCGTCAGATAACGCTAATAATCAGTTTGTTAGCTAACGCTAATAATCAGTTTGTTAGCTAACGCTAATAATCAGTTTGTTAGCTAACACTGATAATCAGTTTTAGCTAACACTAATAATCAGTTTGTTAGCTAACACTGATAATCAGTTTGTTAGCTAACACTAATAATCAGTTTGTTAGCTAACGCTAATAATCAGTTTGTTAGCTAACACTAATAATCAGTTTGTTAGCTAATGCTAATAATCAGTTTGTTATCTAATGCTAATAATCAGTTTGTTAGCTAACACTGATAATCAGTTTGTTAGCTAACGCTAATAATCAGTTTGTTAGCTAACGCTAATAATCAGTTTGTTATCTAACACTAATAATCAGTTTGTTAGCTAACGCTGATAATCAGTTTGTTAGCTAACACTAATAATCAGTTTGTTAGCTAACACTGATAATCAGTTTGTTAGCTAACACTAATAATCAGTTTGTTAGCTAACGCTAATAATCAGTTTGTTAGCTAACACTAATAATCAGTTTGTTAGCTAACACTGATAATCAGTTTGTTAGCTAACGCTAATAATCAGTTTGTTATCTAATGCTAATAATCAGTTTTGTTATCTAACACTAATAATCAGTTTGTTAGCTAACACTAATAATCAGTTTGTTAGCTAACGCTGATAATCAGTTTGTTAGCTAACACTAATAATCAGTTTGTTAGCTAACACTAATAATCAGTTTGTTAGCTAACGCTAATAATCAGTTTGTTATCTAATGCTAATAATCAGTTTGTTAGCTAACACTGATAATCAGTTTGTTAGCTAACGCTAATAATCAGTTTGTTAGCTAACACTAATAATCAGTTTGTTAGCTAACGCTGATAATCAGTTTGTTAGCTAACACTAATAATCAGTTTGTTAGCTAACGCTGATAATCAGTTTGTTATCTAATGCTAATAATCAGTTTGTTAGCTAACACTGATAATCAGTTTGTTAGCTAATGCTGATAATCAGTTTGTTAGCTAACACTAATAATCAGTTTGTTAGCTAACGCTAATAATCAGTTTGTTATCTAATGCTAATAATCAGTTTGTTAGCTAACGCTGATAATCAGTCCATCAGCTGAAGTTGTGACCATAACTGAAACAGCTGCAGAATGACAGAGTTTAAACTGCAACTTGCTGCCAGTCACACTCCAATGAGCCGTGTTGTTCCTGTATTCTGGAGAACTGATTGGGTCCAGAAGCTACTGCAAGAGCATCAGCAGAAGAAGAAGACGACGGAAACAGAAGCAGTTACATTGCTTTCCACTCAGTCAGAGAAAATGAAACCCCCAAAATAGCAAGATGAGCTGCAGAGATACGCTGGTAAATGTCTCTGAGGCCGGGCCTTTCTGAGTCTGGGCCGGCCTGATAACCACTGGAGCGTCTCCTCACTGCGTCAGCCGGGACGCGACCCGTTTGGGTTGCAATGTGCTGCTCTGAATGAGCTGCTCTGAATGAGCTTCAGAAACACAGCTGGCTCAAAGTTTTCACTCCCCACATTCACATTTCAACCACAAACTTCAACATCTTTCATGAGGATTAGATGACAGAACAAAACAAAGTTAGACAGTTAATGACTTACGGCAAATAAAAGTCTGGAAGCAACACATGGTGGTGGCAGCATTATGCTGTGGGGATCAGAAGGCTGGGCGATTATGGGATGGTTTAAATCCGAGTTAATTCACCCTTTGTTAGAGTTAAATATGTTGCAATCAGCAATTAACCAATGAGGTGATAAATTAAAATGAGCTCAATAGTTGTCATTCTGATGGCTAATATGAAATAGTTTTGGTTTTGTGTGGTTTTCTTTTCCATTTTATTTATTGTTCTTGGTTTTTGTATTTTATTTTGGATATTTAAAATCAGTTTGAGGTGTTCTTCACAAAATAAAAGTTTTATTATTATTAACAATATATCACTTGAAAATGATGTGAAAATAAAAATATTATTTGCCATAGTAATTTATGGGACGTTCACTGCATTTAACTATAGTTTTCTTTTAAATTATAGAGTTTGCTTTCACAATAACATCATATTTTATTGTTCAGTTTCTAATGTGACAAATAAATACTGAGGGAGATCTATGGAGCTAAATTGGGGCCATAAATAGTGGAAACCAAAAGGTTTCCATTGTTAAACAGCTCAAACAGAATCATATGATTTTATTCATTCATTTTGTTAATGCAGTTATTGACTTTTACTTTTATGTTTCCACTGAAGAAGATGACTCTATGTCTTTATGTGACATGAACATAATTCTGTGGGGAAAATGAAACAAAACAAAAAAAGTAAAGTTCAAAACAACTTTTCAGATTCAAGTTTTTTTTTCAGTTTAAACTATTTTTAAACAAACTTTGTAGTCCCCATTTAACACCAGATAAACCAGCAAATTCAGCATTTTACTGGCATTTATAAACACATCTCTAAGTATTGATTCAGCTGTTTTCTTTCATAAAAAAACCAAACTTTCCAAATCACTCTGGGCACTTTTGTGCTCATCTTCATCTTTTTATTGAATTTGTCCTGAAATCCAAAATTCATTCTTAAGTTGGAGTGTTGCACGAAATACATTGAGTGTGTTATTTAGGTTTAAGTGGACTTAGTGTGTCTGCAGCAGCAGCAGCTGCAGCAGCGGGCGGGTCGAGGCTTGGACAGACCGTCAGACTGCGGACCGACCGGCCTGCGGGGCTGCGGGGCTCTGGGAGCGGACTCCAGGCGGAGGAAGCTCCGGGAGAGGCGGAGACCTCGCCACAGACCGAGCTGCTGCTGCTGCTGCTGCTGCCAGTGTGAGGTGAAGCTCAGCCGGGCTGTTGTGTAAGCTCCACACAGAGGAAGAGGAAGAGGAGGAGCAGGAGGCCTTTTACCATATACGGTGAGTGAGCTTTAGTGTCGGAAGTTGGCTTCCGATTCGGTGCTGCAGTAAAGGGCTGCTCCGCTGTTTTTAAGGACTCCAGCCTCATTGAGTTCACCACTTGCCTGGAAGAAGGAAATCAGTCAATATTTCAGTGGGTGATACCATCTGTTGTTGACAAGCTCTGCTAATCCATGTCAGCGTTTGCTTTTGCTGCTCTTTAAATTTCTCTCTGCTTGTGGTCAGAGGCAGAGAGTGGGTGGGGGTCAGATCCCGCAGCAATGTTCCTTTCAATGCAGTAATAAATGTAAAACTCTGGTCCTATGTTGGGCTTTAAGTTCATCCTGTTTATTTGCCAGAGATCTTCCCACTGTGGGAAGAGATGGTTGGAGCTTCGTCTATCTGCATCGGCTCCTTTTCAACTCCTCCAGGATTTGGGGTCAAAGTTCAAGTATTATTTGAAATGCTAACAGCTGCTCCCGGTTGTAAAGTGATACATTGTTTGCATTATCACAACTGTTGGAAGTTAAAAAACAGGAGCAAAAATAGTTTCATCTCATCTCCATAACCAGCAGGAAAAGTGGTTAAAAAAACCAAACAGGCTTTTGAAACCTGCTGCAACTGGGAGTGGCACCGTTCCAGAAAACTTCATTTGAGAACATTTTATTCTTTATGTCAAAGATTTCATTTTCTTTCATTGTTTCCTTGTTTTTTCTTGTTTAGTTTGTTTTTTAATCTGAGCTGTGATGCAAACATGCTGCAACTCTTCCTTCCTGCCCCAGCATCACCATCCACCACGACTCTCTGGAAACACTCCAATAATTTTAGTTACGGCAACATTTCATTAACTTGGGGATGAAATGTTTTTCTATTTACTTGAAGTAAAAAAATACCGTTGTGGCCCTTTATCTTCAGTCGGAAGCCAACTTCAGCTTCGGCTGTGAGCCGTTAGCAGCCGCTGCTAGCTCGGCTCAGCGCTGCTGTGATGCAGCAGATAACCAGGCTAACTCTGACCCAAAAAGGTCTGCTTTCATAAGGTGAGGCACTTTGGTCCGGTTTGCATGCTGGTAACGTGTTTTAAGTCATTTTATTTGAGCTCCACTGAAAGGTGTCACGTCTCTGTTTGGCTGTTTTCTTTCTGTTCCTGTTTCAGTGTGAAGCAGCTAGCTGCCGTTAGCAGCAGCAGCAGCAGCGGTTGCTTCAAACTCTTACGCTTTTTTCCGTTAAAGACCAAACTGCCAACAAACTGGTGCCGTTCTGGTTCTCAACAGAACCCAGAGAGGCTGGCAGCGCCAGCGGGCGGACAGCAGGTCTGTACTGGGAACCAGTGTGGCTCCGAGCTGTCAGATTTGTGCAACTGTTAGTTATGCTAGTCAGAGGAACCCGGGTTAGTTATGCTAGTCAGAGGAACCCGGGTTAGTTATGCTAGTCAGAGGAACCCGGGTTAGTTATGCTAGTCAGAGGAACCCGGGTTAGTTTGCTAGTCAGAGGAACCCGGGTTCTGCTCAGCCGGGTCATGGGTTCCTGTCCGAACCAGAACCGAAATGCACATGGATTGCTGTTAGACATGGATGTCTATCTGTGTTTATGAGGGATTTTCAGTTCGTTGGGGAGTAGCTGGAAAACAGACGCACATCTGCGGAAATGTGAAAGGAGATATCGCAACAAAACCTGCGGGAAAATGAGAAATGAGGGAGAACCGCTGGATTTTACGATGAGAAGAAGAAGGTGCGCCAGGAGCAGAAGGGAAGGTGCGCCAGGAGCAGAAAGCACTCAGATATCTGACCTAACCCTGTCAGTGGTGTTGCATAAGCGTTTTCCTCCCAGAGCCTTCAGCTCCCTGATGGATCCGTCCTCAGCTGCTGTCAGTCTGGGAAGGTAAAAGCTTAACAACTCATGAATCCCAGAGTCAGATGACTGGATGAAGATCCTTGGAGGCCAAGCCAACACCTTAAACTGGACGCCATGCTCCTCAATATTCCTCTTCAACCACGTTTTTTTTAGCATGGGGTGAATTATTTAGTTAAAACTCATTAAAGGTCTTTAATGGCCTTTCCTAATGCTTTGGTACAATATTTACTCTCCTTTTCTCCTTATTATTCAGATAATCAATTGATTAATTGGATAAAAATAAAATTGTCACATTTTACAGACAGCGTTCCTTTAGTTAGATCTTGAACATCTGCAGCTAAAAATCCTTCGAACATCAACATTTCAAAATGTCATCGATCCGGTTTAGGAGAGATCTGGGATTGATTATATGGATGAACTAATAATTGAATATGATTAATCTAAGATTTTACAGAATGTGAAGCTAAAACTGCCACTGGAGTGAAAACATTTATTTGTCATCTTAAATGTATTTTGTACCGTTTTGGATTAGATGGGGTTTTTATTCTCCAGTTAACAGTTACTATCAGTTACTGAATCATTTAACCGTTTCTTTAATAATCAGTCAATCATGATTAATCGTTTCATTACTAATTTTTACAGTTTTTTTATGAATGCATTTCTTTTTTTCTCCATTTGTCAGTGTGTGGTGAGGTTTCTGCTGCCAAAGGCGGATTTATTTAAATGCTGTTTACGCCTCTCCCATGGTCCAGCGCTACCTGACCTTTGACCTCTCTGGCCAGAAACAGAAACCTTTGTCCTGCAGCGCTGAGCCGGACTCAGAGTAAAGTTTTCTGTTGACGAACCTAAAAAAAGGTTTTCTGTTTACAGAGTAAACAGAAACTTTCATTTTTATTGAGGAAACCATGAGAACGTGTTTCTGTAATCATTTATTATCAGTTATTGTGATGAATTGTTAAAATCTATCCTCAGTAGCTTTAACACTACAGGAGGTTTTATTTTGGCGGTCAAAAGGAGTTTATGTCACTGCAGTAGAAACAGTTCTGTGCATCAGGACGACAGGAAGCAGTGGGAGGATGGTTTTAATGAACTCTGATTCCTGTGTGATTGTTTTCTTATCCAATAGGATCACAGGAACAATAATGACAAAGTATTGGAAATGTGTTTGCAGTGCTTCAGTGTAAAGATGGTTTGCAGCTTGTTTTGCAGCACTCAGAGCCGTCCGGTCCTCTCTGCCTCCACCCATCCATCCCCTGCATGGTCAGTTCACAGCCAGACCACAAATAGCGTCTCCCACTGGCCAGCAGATTGCACTGCAGGCCCATCACCAAAACTGATTGGAAATACAAAGTTATATATAGCAACACATTACTATTTATTAATTATGTAATTATAACTTGTGTTTCTGCTCTGGTGACCAAGTGATGATATTTCATTGCCAATTTCACTTTATTTCTTTGAACAATGATAATAAAGCCAAGTTTGCAGTGTGAAATAAACTCTAGTGGAGTTTGGAAACAGAATGTGTGTAAAGGTTCAAGTCTGGTTGGACGATGTGCCCAGTTGGGAGGAAAGGCTGTGATTGATCAATCGGGCTGATCGTCCCTGTGATTGATCAGGCTGATCTTCGCTGTGATTGATCAGGCTGATCGTCACTGTGATTGATCAGGCTGATCGTCACTGTGATTGATCAGGCTGATCGTTGCTGTGATTTATCAATCAGGCTGATCGTTGCTGTGATTGATCAGGCTGATCTTTGCTGTGATTGATCAGGCTGATCTTTGCTGTGATTGATCAGGCAGATCTTTGCTGTGATTTATCAATCAGGCTGATCTTTGCTGTGATTTATCAATCAGGCTGATCCTTGCTGTGATTGATCAGGCTGATCCTTGCTGTGATTGATCAGGCT